ACATCATTCCCCATATCTTCAAATTTTTTCAAATTTTTCTTGAGTTCCTAGGGGGTTGAAACGTTCAATTTAATCGAAACTCCATAAGAGGCCATGTAAAAGACTGATTTTGTTTATTTAATTTCTCGATATCCATAAGTTCTAAAATTTTAAAATTGTCACCGATGTTCACCATCTGTCTAATACTATCAATTAAAAAAATTATAACTTTGTTGGTGAATGTCAATTTTCAAGGTCATCGCCAAATCCACTTGGCACCCTTAATTCTCTTCAAGTCATTATCAATATTTATAAAACATCTATGAGTACATGAAGTTTAATAAATTCGATTTCTTCATGTTCACAACAAAAAGATAAGCGCGCGAAAGCGCGCGCACAGATCTAGTTTAAAAAAAGGCTCAACCGCTCTCAAGGTCAAACGGGAGAGACAGGTAAGGTTCAAATGTCCTTGACGTCGTTGATAAACAATTCCTTTACCGACCGATGATAAAATGCGATATCAGCATCATTTTTCTGCGCCGATAGCACTCCGATTATTATTATTATCTGAGTTTTTTCTTCTGATTGTTATGCGTCGTTATCAATGTCGCGAATATCGTTACGGCACGCGTTCAATTTTCAAGAGTGGTTCAGTTGTGCTGAAGGCGCGAGGATCCGACGGAACATACGGGGGGAGTTCCTGACACTTGTCGTGTCTCATTAGTTCGATTGATTTTTTTTTTAAGAAGACTAAATTACAATGGGTTTGGAAGATTATAAGGAACTCGTGGGGAACTCAGCGGCGATATGCACGATGGCGCAAATGTTATCTGGAACGTAAGTGCTTGAGATTATGGGCATATTTACCGAAATTTTTGAATATTTACCTATAGCTTCATTTTATGGGCTGAAATACTTGTGGGAGTGGAGGGGCTTTGGGAATTTGGCGATTATCGCTGGAGGGAGTGGGTTTAGGGGAAAACATCATGAGACCTTTTTTGTAGCTGATGAAATTCCCCACAAAAAAGCTATTGTAATGTTTTCTCCTAAACCCATCCCCTGATGCACGATTGGCCAATTTAGTAGATTGGCTTCCCCCTGTCATTACTTACAATTTCGAAATAGATTCGTCTGATTATTTTCATTTTAACACTCATATCTGTTGTCACTCCGCACACAGTCATCGTCATGGCATTGGCATTGTAAAATCAGACAAATATAGCGGTAATAATTTCCACTATTACCGATTTTTTACGTCATCGTGTGAATTTAATTTCACGATTAATCTACTTTAGATTGATCTGCCGGGATATTTATCGCAAGGGCACCGCCGATGGATTCGATCCAATGCCGTTCATCGGAGGAGTTGGAATGTGAGTATCAGAAGGGATCGGAAGGCAGGGGAAGGGGTCTAATGTGATTGAATTCAGCAGTAAAGTAGTAAACCGGTATAAGTCGATTTTGACTGATGCGCAGTTTTCAATGAATATCTCAAAATCTAAGAGAAATAGAAAAATTTTTGTCATGACCTTTTTTGTAGAGCAAATTGAGAGCTACAAAAAAGGAAATGACAACAATTTCGCTATTTCCCGTAGGTTCCGAGATATTTATCGAAAACTTGCCAATAGTCAAGATCGACTTGTACCACTTCGCTACTGAATTTCATTTCGTTCAATTAGAATTTTTGTTCGCGAAGCAGTCGAGAGTGGGAGATACCGAAACGTCACTGAAATTCAGTCGTATTGTCGAGGAGATAATGGAGGGATTGGGAGTTGTTATTATCATCGGGTGTTATTATCTTTTGAGAGTATGATTTTTCTTTCAGGGGATTGCTGATGCTCCAGTACGCCTTCATCGTCAATGATCCTGCCATGATCAGCGTCAATGTCTTTGGCTTGACCACTAGTTTATTATATGTCCTAGTGTTTTATGTTTATTCACCGAAAAAGGTGGGGTATTTATTCACTCGTGGCTGTCGGAAGCTTCTCCCCGGACGAAATTCACCTTCTTTTAAATTTCCCGGACGAAATCGCGAAAAGAAGCACGAAAAAATTTAATGGAAAATCCCATCGAATTCGTTAGAAAATTCTATTGAATTTCTATTAAACTTTCTATTAGTTTTTGGCTGATTCTATTGACATGTTCAATGGAAAAAGTCAACAGAATTAGATTTTTCTATATAACTTATTCTTTTCATATATTTTCTGTAGAATTTGCTCGACTCAAATTTTCCAAGTTTTTTTCATTCCATTTTTCTTTTCTTCTCATCAAGAAAATCAAACGAAAAAACTGGGAAAATTTGAACCGAGGGAATTCTATAGAAAATATCTCAATAGAATATGTTATATAGAAAAATTGAATTCTACTGACTTTTTCTACTGAATATTTTCTATTCAACAGTTCAATAGAAATTCAATAGAATTTTCTAACGAATTCTATAGGTTTTTCTATTAAATTTTTTCGTCCGTGAAAATCTCCCTGAAGAGGGGAGTCATCAAATTCGATATAAAAAAGGGTTTACAAAGATTTATTTTTAAAATTAATATTCCTGTTTCTTTTCCTTTTCTATTTTAATTGAGAATTGCTCCGAGATATTTTGATTTTTAGGACGAATCCGTGGAAATACTTTGAGTTGTATTTTTTGATTGATTTGTTTTTTACTCCTTGATTTTTTTTTCATTTTGTTTTTTTAAGACGATTGGGTGAATTCGCTTGAGTCAAGCGATGTTGATTGATGTTTTGCGAATGTTGCGATTGAAGCAGTTTTATTTTTTGCTTTTTTCGTTATTATTTGAGCCTTTCGAGAAATATGTTTTCGTGTTTTTCAATGACTTCCGTGGAGTCAAGACGAGTGAGTTGAAAATTTTTGGATTTGTTTTTTTTTCTTTTTTAACTGTATGATCGATAATATTGTTGTGATTGTGCGAATAAGTTTTCGGAGATTCTTGGGGGGAGATTTTGTCCGGGGGGAAAATTCCTAGAATTTTCACTCGTGGTAATCAGTTTTTTGTCTTTGTATCTCCAATTGCCTGTTCAATTTTCATTTCAACTATCAAGTTTTTAATTATCTCGGAATTGAGGGGGTGTAACCGATAGTTTACGGGATAATTACATTTTTTATTTTTTGACGTCATAAATGTTGAATTATATAATTAATTAATTTCTCCAGCGAAAAATATGAAGAAAAGATATTTTGTAGGAAATTTAATTCTCTCGGAAAAAAAATCAGGCGATGTGTTCGCCTGAAACCACTCGTTCTTGAGATAAAATGACAATTAATGGCGATTAATCATCAGTAATATCTGTGATTTTTCAATATCTCTAGAACGAACTTGTGATGACGATAGTAAAGACCCTCGGAATCGTCGGGATCTTCCTGGCATACGCACAAATTGAGAATCCAGTGACTCTCGAGTTCAGATGGGGCATTTTAACGACTCTTTTACTCTTTATGTTGATCGCAGCACCACTGGCCAATCTCGTGAGTTTTTTCAAGCAATAATAAACAATAATTTTTAAAAAATGAAGGATGCAAGAGTCATCAATATTGTGAGTTATCCAAGGATAGAAAAACTGATATTAAGGGGAGACTACTGTGAGTTTTAACAGTCGTGGGCTATTGGAATGCGATTTTTGAAGTGCTAAAAAATGAAGGCCCAGGTGTGCTATCTTCCGAATGTTATCTGGATTTTTTTTGTCTTTCGTAATCCAAAATTGTCAATTGAGTGGTACATCATGTAGAAATTCCCAAAAATTATGATAGAATGATAAAAAAAATAAAAGAATTCTGTACTTTGTCAACGAGAGTTTTCAATTGGGATTTAGAATACAAAAGATGCATTTTTCACTTTCTTGTTATTCAACTTATTCTGAATATAAATGAAAAATGCTCTTTGAAAAAATTAAGAATTTCTTCTACTTTTTTTAAATTATTCATTCATAATTTTGCAAAACTTGTGCATGATGCAGGACTTAATTGACAATTTCAGATGACGAAAGATGAAAAAAAACATCGAGATAACGTTCGAAAGATAGTACACCGGGGCCTCAAACCTTAAATAAAAATTATTTGGATTTTTTTTTCAGGGAGAGGTGATAAGAACCAAAAGCACGGAGATCCTACCATTCCCCCTGATAGCAATGGGCACTCTGGTGTCTTCTCTATGGCTGTTGTACGGAATAATAATCGACAATTCATTTATCGTCGTGAGTATCGCGAAATTAATGAAGACATCGTCCCAACAATTTCCCAAACTCGTGGGACTCATGGGGAATTTTAATTTTAGGTACAAAATGTCGTGGGACTGGGCCTTTACATCGTCCAACTCTCCCTATTCGCGATATTCCCATCGAGACCTGCGGACAAGTCCGAGGAGAAGATGAAATGAATTTTATGAATGAAAAATATTCTAATTAATGTCGACTCCTCGTTCAGGATATCATTGAGCATTCCAGTCTCTCAATTTAGTGATTGATTTTTAAACAACATTCTCCTTTTTCATTAAGCAATTAACTGTGAACAAATATTTTTATTGTTAATTAGAAGTGAGTGATGTAAATAAACTATTTTTTTTAGAATAAAAATTTCAATGACAAATTGATTGTTTGAAATAAGTGAATATTATCTATTATTTTTTGCTTGTGTTTAATTCAATTTATTAGATGTAATTCGTCCATTTATTAATTATTCCAATTAAAAATTGAATTAATAATTTCATTAATTAATTGATAATAAAATTAATTAATTAAATTTTTAATTGAAATAATTAATAAATGAGTAATTCAATAAATGACAGAGGAATCCCCAATTATTTTTCAACTGAAAAGCCCGAAAATACTGGAAGATGACGTGTCCTTGAGCTAAAAAAAAATGTTCGCGCCATTTTCACCTACTCCATAACCTCAAAAATATTTGTGACCGTCAGACGCCGACGGTGATTCTCCTTTGTTCCCTTTTGCATAGTTTTTTAACAGTTGAATACAAGTATCACCGACAGGGCAAGAAAAACAGACTAGTTGATCTAATCGATAATTATAAATAATCAGAACTGAATAACGATGGGAAGGCCTAGAGTGATAGGTGCACACCTGGGGAAGGAGATTGGCAACAGGGTCACCCTCTTCGGGATGATCAAAGCGGTAATGATTAATTATCAATTAATTATCAAGGCGAATGAATAATTCCAAATGAATTAAAAATGATTCTTTTTTAATCGTCAATAACTCGAGATTGGCTGAGTGAAAATCAATTTTTTTTATTTATTTCGAAAGCCATTTTATCAGGGGTTAAAATGAGACCTGATTCATCCCAATCGCATCATTCAATCATGAGATATTGATAATGAAAAAGACATGGATTCCTTTACCTGTCCCTGCGAACTTACGACCAACGGTTTTAATATTTCCAGGTGAGCTCAAACCAGACGAATGTTGAACTGCTGACCCCAGACAACATTAAAGTCAATGTATCCCTCCCTGAACCCTTCACTGGGCTCCCTGAAGGTGGGATGGAGGTCTTTGGGATTGTTAAATCAAAGTCGACGATCAGTGCTGATGGCTATGTCTACCGCACACCAATCGAACTTGAGAAGTTTGGTAAGAGATTATCTCCCAATTATCTCGATGGAAAATGTTACAAAATATTTTTTGCAGCTGATGAAGTTCTCTGCAAAAAATATCTCATGACATTTCCTCCTAAAATCAATAATTTTCGAGATAGATAAAAATTAAAACAAATTTAAGAATATTTCAATAAATTACTGATCGCAGGTACTTAAAAAAATTTATTGTTTTAAATTGAGAGATGAAGACATTACCTTCTATTTTTATTTCTATTTTTAGTCTTCTAATAGGTGAAGCGGTAAACCGAGATAAGTCGATTTTGACTATTAGCCAGTTTTTGCTGAATATCTCGGAATCTAAGAGAGATAGCAAAATTTTTCTCATGACTTTTTTTATAACGCTCTATTGGCTCTACAAAAAAGGTCATGACAAAAATCTTTCTATCTCTTTTAGATTCCGAGATATTCGTCAAAAACTAGCCAATAGTAAAAATCGACTTAACCCGGTTTACCGCTTCGCTACTGAATTTGAAAATTAATTTCATAAGAGCCCGTGTACAAGGAAAAATTAGTTTACTCATTTCTGCCGAGACTATTGCGATTAATTTTTTAACGTTAGCAAAGTTAGTTTTATATGTTCTGTTGTCAGCCGAAAAAATAACAGAATTTTCCCTGACCATGAGCAAAAAACATATTTACCGACAATGGCTAAACATCCTTAAATTAAATAATTTGTTTAATTCTAGATCCCGAGGCGTACCAGGACTACCTGATACTCGTGAACATCATGATTGGACAGGATGAGAACATTCAGGCTGCCTTCCGTACCTTTTAAGCTCACATAAGCATACTCAACTCTAAATATTCGATAAGAATTATTTTTTCATCTGATTAATCGTTAATAAACACTAATAGAATATTGTACGAATTTTTTTGCCTTTCATCAATTTTAATTGATTACTGAGGGGGAGAGGAAAATTATTATTTTCATCTGATTAATAATTACAGTGAAAAATTGAGACAATGTTCTTCAACTAAAAAAATATTTTGTCCTCAAATGGAGCAGAAACGAACGGGAAATAGAGTTGATTATAATTAATTTTCCTTAATTAAATTGTTGTTGAGGGAGGGGGGAAATATCGATTGTTGGTAAAGCTGTTGCAGTAGTTCAACATTCAACAAAACGTGTTCTCGTGCCTTAACCTCTGATTGTCGATCCTCACCTTGAGTGTCACCCATTGTTTACAATTATTAGAAATTGTTTTTCATTGATGAGAGTAACACACGATGATGGAAGTGAGCCCAGAAGAGGTGGCAATGCCAGGTGATGTCATAAAAATAACAACTGATAATCCTAAACAGAAAATAGTCATTGGGCCTGGGTTGAGAAGAGAAGGAGAGACTATTTACGCCTGCAAAGCCGGGATTCTTAAAAAAAGAGCACCCTCGATTTACTATGTCGACAGCTATCAAAGAAGGTACAGTATTTTTTCATTAGTTTTGTAAAAAATATACAATTTTAAAAGGAAATGTTGTTGTCAAGTTGAGTTGACTTTCTTCATTTCATGAATTCTTCAGTTGAAGAGAACTTTTGTAAGAAATATTTTTTTTGGTCTGGAGTAAATCTGAAGTCTGAAATTGTTTACAAAAAATTTATTTGCAAATATAAAGGAAAAAAAATTTTTTTTAAATTGAGAAAATGAAATATTCTTCATTTTTCATCTGCAAAATTATCCCTTTATTAAAAAATCCATTCCGCCTAAGTGGTCTTTCTTTAGCATTATATTATACTATCATATAATATATTATATTATGATGTTTTAAAACTGTTTTTTTCAATTTTGATATGATAAATAACATAAAATAGATTATTTATGAAATGAAATTAAACTAAATAAAATATAAATACTATAATATATATAGCATAAATATTATATATGATATAATATAATATATACATACTAAACTAAATGGTAAAAATAATTGAAAAAAGAATAAAATTGCAATATACGAAATTGTATTTTTTCGATTCGTGTGTGAACGTGGATAATCCAAATACCAATGATTCTTATGGAGTGAATATACTTTGGAAGAACCTAATGGACTCCAACATAATCTCTACACAATCATAGGGGAGCATGGGGCAAAATGAAACACGGGGCAAAATGAAACAGTGGAAAAATCTCGTCATCTAAAGGAGATAGGACATTTTTGAAGAGGACCTTTTTTGTAGCTTGTAAAATTCTCTACAAAAAAGGTTTTCATGAAAATCGTCCTATCTCCCTTAGATCACAAGATTTTCTTGCTGTTTTATTTTGCCCCGTGTTTCATTTTGCCCCACCGTCCCCTATTAACTTTTAATATTACTGGAAATCCATCGAAAACACCTGTCTCTCGGTTCTGCCAATTCCTGAGGCACGTAAGGTAGAGAATACGCGCGGCCTAATCTACTATTTAAAATATATATTCGAAGAAGATATGAGAACAGTGATATTTTGAGCCAAAATGACCGAATGAACAACCAGAAAATGTTGTTTTACCGAAAATAAGAAATGAGAGAATTTAGGAAATGAAAAGTCTCTCCTTTTTTCAGATATATTCCAAGCAGAGGTGAAAATGTTGTTGGGATTGTGACCCAAAAAGCCGGAGACATATTCAAAGTAGACATTGGTGCGTCTGAGCAAGCCTCCCTCCCCTACCTAGCATTCGAGGGTGCAAGCAAGCGAAATCGTCCAGACGTACAAATTGGAGATGTCGTATTTGCAAAACTGCTGATCGCTAGTAAGGATATGGAGTCAGAGCTCGTGTGTGTTGACTCTCACGGTAAAAAAGGAAAGTTGGGTGTGCTTGGGCCCAAGGGATTGCTCTTCAATTGCTCCCTGAATCTAGTGAGGAAGCTTCTCCACGAGGACAGCCCCTTTTTCACAGCCTTTGGAAAGGAACAGCCCTGTGAGCTGGCTGTCGGGATGAATGGAAGAGTATGGATCAATGCGAGGAGTGTCAGGGAGACTGTGGCACTTGCCAATGGAATTTTAGCTGCTGAATTCACTCCCAGCAACAAGATTCAGGAATTGTGTCAGAGCATTGCTCAAACGGTTCTCGAAACGAGCTGAAGTAAATCATCGATATCTCCTGATCCAGTTGTACCATTTGGGGAAACTAAAGCTCATTTGACGATTGAAAAAACCTTGAAAATGAAAACTGTCGTTCACCCTTCCACTGAAAACCAATAATTTTTATGAGAAAAATTTCTTCGATCGTCAATATATGCTGATCCAACGACTCGAAATAATATCTTCAAAATTGAAAATTCACAAATTCGGAATTTCACTCTATATTAGTCTCGAATTATTAGAGATTAAGGATGTTTGCCATTGTCAATAAATGTGTTTTTTTTTCATGGTCAAGGAAAGTTCTGTTATTTTTTCGGATGACGGCAGAACATGAAACTAATTTTTCCTTATACACGGGCTCTTATGAAATTAATGTTCAAATTGATAATTCACCCACTAGAAGAGTAAAAATAGAAATAAAAATAGAAGATAATGTGTAAAATCATACTGAATCCAATGGCCAGAGAAAAATCTGGGGTGCCCGGGCAAAATGAAATTTGTATCGAAGTGAAGGGAATATCTTCACCTCTCAGTTAAAAAAAATCAATTTTTTTAAGTACTTGCGATTTTGGATAAACATCCTTAAAACATCAATTTTTCTTTTTTTATGAATAAAACTGCCTATTCTCAATTTCGATTATTACCATTTCTTTAATATCATTAAAAATACACTGGCTGTATACAACGTTACATTAATACAGTGTAAGCCTACTATGGCTTACGAATTAATCACACTCACATTATCGAATAAACAACTCAGGGATTCAATTGATTTTTCCATTAATCAACCCCTCAATTATTCAGTGATTTTTCCTCGTTAATCTGCGTTGTAATGTCACAACCTGGCTATTGCTCTGGGCTTATTCGTCTTACGACACATGACATTTATTTTTTTCTCTGTTTCCTAATTTGTGGATTTTCTCAGCGACTCCTGATATGTCCCTACGATTTATTCACATGAAAAATCAAATATAAAATTGTTTGTAGCTACCAAAACATCAAATGATACTCGAAAAATGTCACCTGATCCCTAGAAAAATTAATGGATTAATAATTAAAAAAATTAAATATTATTCAACTAAATAAATTGGTCGAACCCCAGGTACATACATGGTTATTACTCTCTCACTAATAAAATTTTGGAATGGAATCAGTAATACATCAACTAAAGCTAACGCCGAAGGCTATGCTAAACAAACAATCAAAGAAATTTTCCTAATCGATTCAACACATCAGATCAACTTTAAAATTTATGCCGAGGCATAAACAAAATCCTATGCATTATTCATACTTTTTTTCTATTCTCAAAGTCCCGAGTAATTTGTCGATTTTCCTTGTTATTGACATTTTTCTCGTTTCAATTCATCAGAAGGAAATGAATAAAAACTTCAGATGGAATTTTTTTTTTCGCAAATTCTAATTTTGGAACGAATAATCCATAATTTCAATTTTTTTTTATCAAACAATAATCCTGATAACAAGAGAAATGAGATGGATGAAAATTTTCTGAAATGAACAAAATATTTTAATTGTAACATTCGAAAAAAATTGATTAGGAGATGAAAAAAAAAATTTAAACAAAAAATTTTTCGCCTCCATCCCCTAAAAATCCTTCTCCTGAAGTTTCTATTCATCTTCACATCACATTATATATAATAACACTAAAAACACTCCAAACAAATCCCCCCCCCCCAAAAAAAAAAACAAAAAAACAAAAATGAGAACATTGAATACTCCACAAACCGAACAACAACATCCTCCACAGTGGACAATGGCCATTATTGTCCTCCCAAAGCCATGACTACAAGCACGAACACTAAATTCCCCTCCAAATACACCTAATACACCCGAAATTTCATAATAAATGTAGATAAATATTGCACCAGCGTTATATAATTTGTTATTTCCATGAATCTCGTATATAAAAAATTGTCCATTTTCCTTATCTCTAAAATATTACGATGTCCCTTCGGCTATATAAATATAGAGTAATTTATGTTGTTATTATCATCAATGACTTATTAATCATCCAATGCACCTCAAATTCTTACTTTAACGAATTAGCAGAGTGTTAAATACCATTCACAACACAGAGTGCACAGTACGAAGCTTATTTCCCTCTCAATAATTTCCTCACCTATTTCTTAAGCTTCTAAAACAACCAATTTTTCGTTACAACCATGTAAAAATTGATTCATCAGTTTATTCAGTTACATAAAGCTATTAGATACCGAAATAAAACTAGTCTTTGGAGTTTTTCAAATAAAATTTCAATGAAAAAAGAAAATAAAGGTAAAAGAAACGTAACAAAACCCTAGGAATGGCTTTTGAGAGCTAGAAAAATGCAAATAAATTCACTCATTTATCGTTCTTAAATTGTCTTCGAACCCTGCACATCTCCAGACGTCCCCACTCACGTTAATAATTATTTTAAAATGTTCTCTTACTTTTTTACTGTGATTGAAATGTTTTCGAACTGAGCCATTCTGATATGCCCCACCCAGAGTCAAATTCCATAAAAAATACCTTCGTTTCGCACAAATGCTCTGAATACAGTGAATACACTTCACGCTCATCAAGCAAAATGCAGTTTACTTAATTATTATTGAATATCAACTCGTTAATAACGTGAAATTGTGCAGGCATTCGATTATTAGCTTTTAGTGCTCCTTTAAGGCTGCGTTAAAAGCGTTTTAATGGCAATCTCTCTTATTTCTTAAACTGATAACAAGCATGGAAGTGTGTAGAATTATTCTACTCTGTTTCGAGAAGCAATTTATTCTCATTATTTCGTTAATACTCAAGACTAACTAGTCGATTTTTCTTGTTGTAGATTTTTATCGTTGAAATTCCATTCGCTGGAGATTAATGAAAATGTTGAATGCATTTTTGGTACTTATGAAGTACCTCATGATTGAGAAATTCGGTAAATATCAAGAGAAAAATCTTGACGATAAGAAAAATCGAGGCAACAAAACTATTGATGCTGTTTCAATGCGAAATTTTCACAATTTCGTAAATGAATTAAAGAAGCTCTACCCTTCGTCCGGGTTACGCTGTACTTTTGGATATTTTTAGTTCTCAAATTTTTCAACTAAATTGCATGGAAAAAATTTGAAAAAATTCATACCCAGTCAGTATTATCTAAATTAAATTTCCCAAAATATTGATATTTTTTCAAACATTTCCCTCTTATAAATCAATAAAACTTGTTCGCAAAACGGTGGATTATTTTTTATGAGGTGTCAAAAAAGTTCTTGATTTTTCCACATCTAATGAAAAAAAAATTCAGATTTTAATCTTTGATTACAATGGAAATGTTGATTTTCACACAAGACACTGGGTTAAATCCTCATTTTTAAACATTTCTTCTTTGAAAAACCAAAACGATAATTCAATTCAGAAAAAAATTGGAATTCTGAATCTAATCGAGTTTTCTGCATTTTTGTGCAGTTTTCAATAATCGTTGAATTTACCGCAAGGGTAGAGCTACTTTAATGAATAAACACTCGCAAACACAGAGAAACGAGCGATCCCTCTGTATCCCCAAGTGTTTCGTCAAATGTCCTAAGACATTTCCCCGAAGATTAATTCCTGCCCAATGACGAGAGCAAAAGCGCATACTCGATAACCCCATCCCCAGCATTTGACTTAATTCAATCGAACCGAAAAATTGAGACAGTGTCATGCGAAAAATTGAGTACAATCGATAATCGATCAACAATAGATCAGATAAATCTCGTCCTCAGATGGTCTCCCCGAAACCCTTGGAAAAAAAAAATCTCGAGACCATCGTCAGACGCTGCAGTCTTTCTCGATGAATTTTCCCCCCCAAAAATTCCATTTCTTTCACCACGGAATTTTTACAATTACCATAAACGTATTTATCAATTAAAAAATGCAGTCGACAATCAACAACTGGTCGATCCTCCCTGCCCCAAGCGACCGTTCATCAACGTGTTTTTTTTTCTTATTAAAATGAAAAAATCGGCGTGAATTAGCAAAAAGTCTTTTTTCCCAAACTTTTTGAACACTTTCATTGTTAAAAAAAACTCAACAATGCATTAAAAAATTGCCCCTCCCCCCGAGGGCCCACGGGTCAAAAACACTACAACTTCGTTATTATTTACTGGGAAATTCTCCAGTTAAACCGCAATAACGGGCTATTTTGTTCGAACAAATGATCGCTAGAGGCGTCTCGGGAGAATGACAGTGTTATTATTCAATCGAGTTGTCGTGTGGGTGTTGTAATTTTCATCCTGCGGTATGCGCTCACTTCTTTCGTCAAAAAATCCAGGATTTAATATGATATTTGGTACGAGTTCAATCACTTCCTGTTCCTCCAGCTGCGCTGAAAACGTCCACCGGAGCGAATTAATTTTCATTAGCCCGGGCCATGAGCCACATTACATCGGCTTCTACCCTCTCTCCCCCATAACTAATTACCATAATTATCCAATTAATATATAAATTTTCAATCATCCAATAATTTTCCTCTATCAATCCTTTATCTAAGGCCTCAATGCTCTAATTCTTTATCATTTCAACTCTAAAATCACCAAAATCTCTCTATTCTAGACTCATTCTCATACCAGAACAATTAATCAGTTAATTATCCAATTTACACTAGTTAAATTCAGTAGCGAAGTGGTAAAACGGTTCAAGTCAACTTATCTCCCAGTTGAGTTTTCGAGAAATATTTCCGAATCTAAGGGAGATAGCGAAATTTTCGTAATAACATTTGTTGTAGGTCTCATTTGGCTCTACAAAAAAGGTTATAACAAAAATTTTGCTATCTCTCTTAGATTCCGAGATATTCATTGAAAACTGGCCAATAGTCAAAATTGACTTAAACCGCTTTACCACTTCGCTACTGAATTGAAAAGAAAAAAAAAATAATTCTCCCATATTTCGCAGATCGTTTGGTGCTTAATTTAATTAATTACTTCGCGCGTGAAAAAATTCAATAGAAAACCTAGCGAAATCGCTAGAAAATTCTATTGGAATTCCATTAAAAAATTCTATTTGTTTTTTCCGCTGATTCTGTTGGATATTAAATTTTAAAAAAGTCAATAGATTTCGAATTTCTCTTTGAATTTTTTTCTTAAATTTTTTCTATTAGAATTATTGAGCACAAAATTTTCCAAGTTTTTTCCGCTGGATTTCGTTTTGTTTTGCATTCCACAATCCGCGAAGAAAAAATTTGGAAAATTGATGCCCAAGCATTCTGACAGAAAAAAAATCAAGAGAAAATCGTAAACAGAAATTCGAAATCCATTGACTTCTTATCTAAAATCCAATAGAATCAGCGCAAAAAACAAATATAATTTTTCACTAGAATTCCAACAGAATTTTCTAGCGAATTCGCCGGATTTTCTACTGAATTTTTTCACACGTGTTTACCAAATACAACAATTTTACTTAAATTACATTGTGAAAAATAATGTCAAGTGCGAGAGAATAAAAAGAGGTGATAAAATGAATATTTTTAACCAACGAAATAATTTGTTATTATTAGTAATTAGTCTACGTTGATTAGCTTGCAGCTGGGAAGTATCATAAAGTGATGAAAATGTATATTGATTTGTTAATAAAGTCAAGTCGAGAAGTGAAGCTAGAGATTAGGGCCATAGATAAGACACTAAAAATGGCTAGGAGAATGCCCCTGCTTAAATTATGGTGAATTTACCATGACAAATCTCTCGATCATCAGTCTATGAATGCAGTAATCCCCTCCCCTATATGATAGTAACCCCTTAAAATCACACTAGACTCTTTCATGCAGGTAGCAAATGTACATGAGTTTAAAATTCAAGCAAGGGCATCAAAAGAGACAGAGTAGAAGCAAAAAGCCCTTAATTGAACAGTTAACAAGTGAATGCTTACAGGGTACTTTCCACTCACGATATAGGAGATAACAGGTACCTAAACCGAGGACCATTAGTGTTCCCATAACAATAGCTACAGCTGCTACCCAGATTCGAGTGTCGAAATTTTCAACTCCTGCCAAAAGATGCTTGGCAAGCTCTGGAATCATTCATAGTCACCTCATTCGCCAGTATTTTTCCATTACATTTTTGCTTCCGAAGGGAGTAATTGTGGTTCCAAAAAGGAAATGGGAAAATTTGGAAGATGGCTTTTTAAAAAAAAATGCAATAAAAACGGAATTCAATCCATTCGTGAAGCGTATTCTCAGCATTCTCAGAAAATCGAGTAGTTTTTTGCTAAAAAATTAGCAATTTGCTTCTGAATGGATTAATCGAATTAAAATTAAAAAGTGCATATTCGGGTTTTTGGTATCAATTTCATATTGGGTTTTTTGGTATTAATTTCAGATTAGTAGGGAAATTCAAGCTTGACTTGACCTTGCCAATGTCGGCCCAGGGTCGCGCAAATGTCGGCCCACGGTTGGTTCAATGTCGGCCCGGGGTCGGTTCAATGTCGGCCCATGGTTGGGCCAACGTTGGCCCATAGTTGGGTAAATGTCGGCCCATGGTTGGGCCAACGTTGGCCCATAGTTGGGCAAATGTCGGCCCAAGGTTGGCCGCCCTAAAAAGGCTATAATTTCAAAAGAAATAATGTGGTGGCCACTATTTTCGAACTCGACCGAAATAACATCCAAACGAATATTTTAAGCCATAATTAAAAATTTCGATGATTATTTTTTGAATGATCGTCGAAAAACTAAATTGAAAAAAAAAATCTCACATACATACATGATCTAAAAACAGTATATTCGAACTCCTGACATCAAAATTAGTCATTCTGACACGAAAAAATGAAAATTTCAGATTTTACGAATACAATGCTTCCATTCGGAAGCAAAAAAATTCAATTACCCACATGTTTTACATATTTACAAGTTTACAACAATTCATTGGTGATAATACCTTCAGATATGTTCGGTTACAAATAACGATATTGTTTTCAGGGTTCAATTCACTCTAAATATGTCCAAGGTGCAGAATAAATAAAATGGCTAGGTAATCCAATCACTTACCTTTATCCTCGTCGGAAAAGTGCGTGTGGCCCTCGACCTCGACAATTTCCCCACGACCAAGCCTGTTCGTCGCCCATACGCGAAATAAATACGTTGTGTTTGGCTCCAAATGGTAAACATCGATTTGTCTCTGGAAAAATAGAAGAACATTCAGTGATGAGAGATCTCTTGGAGAGCAATATTGTTTTGTCCTGCTAGTGCATACAGAGTTCGGTGGTATGTGCGTTGGAATAATCGGTTTCCAGTCCTCAGGCTCTCTCCCCGGGACTGGCTTTAAACGATACTCGGCAGTGAAGTCAATAATTGGGTAACCACCAGTTCCATTCACCTCCCAGAGAATATTCGCCAATATTGTGGATGGCTTGACCCATACGTTGTGGAGGGCAGGAGGTGGAGCTGAAAAAATGAGGAACAATTGTCAATCTATATTGACAATAGCCAGAAGAGGCTACAACGGATATATTCTATGTTCTTATAAAAACTTTCATTAGCCAAATTAAATAATGAAATGAATAACAACTTTTGGACTTTTCGTATTTTTGGTGTTTATGAAGTTATCGATGATTGAGAAATTCTGAAAGTTTCTAGGGAATAAAATCCAGAGAATAAAATATTGATGCTGTTTCAAGGCGAAATTTTCATAATTATGTCTCAACACCCTTAACAGCCATACTTACTTTTAACTTGTATATTGATCCTCGTCTTCTTCGCCCCACTGTCGTTATCCAGTGTGCAGAAGTAATTGCCGGCATCCTCAGCACTGACATTGACCAGCTGCAGTGCCTTATTGGAGCCGATTTTCATTCTCTGAAACTGCTTGTCCTCCCTTCCCTCCCTGACCCACATGACATTGGTGCTATTGCCAGGATGCTGCGACACATCGTCGTTAGCACAGGCCACAGTTAAATTCTGTCCAATGTCCACTTCGACAGTCCTGACTTCCTCCAGGCCGAGTGCCACCTGCTGCCATCCTGCATTGCAAATAAATATCTCGTTGCATTATTTACTTAATGAAGTTGAAGGGGACATTCAAGTGTAGGAGAGCCAAATAATAACATGTACAAATGTTTTTCAAGTGCGAAAGAGTTTCTACATTACTTAAAAACATTTCTACACGCCTAACAAAGATTTTTTCGCCCAAGACAAATCTTCTACTGTCGAATCTTTCTACACTGAGAGAAAAACAAACAACTTGTCAATCAAGTCTTGTTTGGGCCAACAAAATCGCTAGTTGAAAATTGCCAAAAAAGAATTCAGTAACGAAGCGGTAAACCGGGTTAAGTCGATTTTGACTATTTGCCAGTTTTTGACGAATATCTGGGAATCTAAAAAAGATAGAAAAATTTTTGTCACGACCTTATTTGTAAAACCAACTGAGGGTTATAAAAAAGGTCCTGAGGTAAATTTTGCTATATCTCTTAGATTCCGAGATATTTGTCAAAAAATGGCCAAAAGTCAAAATCTACTTAACCCGGTTTACCGCTTCGCTACTGAATTTGTTCGGTTGGAATTTGAAAGTCTCAAACATGAATAATTGTTCTGCTTTCGACAGCAACGAAATATTTGGCTCAAGAGGCGGATAATTCACACCAGACGGTGCCTTTTCAGGATGAAAATATCTCATACAGAGGAAAATTTATCAACAAATATTTTATCCCCAAGTTACAAAATTGCTATCATATCATTATTATTGTTTCATTTAAGGGTTCATTTGTTGTCTGCGATTATTAGACAGCCGAAACGAAAAACTACAATCCCTTGTTTCGCATAAAAAAAGATTTTTCGGGAGGAAAATACGTATGGGAGTATCGAATAACGAAGGAGTAGTGCTAGAAATGACATTTCTTGCGTCTACAGAGAATGCAGTTTTTTTTCAACTACTAAATCTATTTTTGCGACAAAAATTTTTCACTCCGGCGCACTCTCCGCATGTTTGGCACAAAAAAATTCTTTTTTAATAATTTTCAAAAAACTATTTTCTCGGCACAAGCAAGACTTGTTTGAGAACATTGTCGTTATTTTCTGAGTGTAGTTTCAGCTTCATATTTATTTACATCAGTCACGTGGAACCGCGGCTCTAATTCGTCTGTCAGTAATAAATCAGTGATAACAATGGATCAGCCACAACAATTGGTGGCTTATCAAAAATGACCCTGCATGACTTCCGCCTGAAATAGCAATTGTCCAGCGAGCATTACCTAACATCCGGACTCCACAATATCCTCGAAAAAGCTCGACTCCAAAAACATTAACAATTTTTAAACTCAATCGAGGACAAAGAAATCAGATAGAAAGCAACTCCAAGCTAATTGGCAATTTGAGAAAATCAATTCTGAATAATAACGAGGGAAAATATATCGAAGCAGATCAGATACGAAGGATCGATCGGCCTAGACAAGTGGAGAATCCTTGGTTCCATGTTTCATTTACCTGGCAGTGCGAGAAGCAGATAAATAATCCCGTGTATAACCATTCTCCCATATTAATCTCAATTGTCACTTCTTCTCAACTACTCGCCGACTTTATTTATTTACACTGTCAGGCATGCCTGACCTGTCGAGTGATGACTCGATGATTTATTTTTTTTGACGTGAAACTCCGCGGCTGTCAAACACGCATTGTGTATTGGAGTACTGAGTCACGTCACTTTTTGGGGGGGGATTCGCTTGCCCCCGCCCCGATATTCTCGCGCGAACGGGCGTCGGTCGGTGGCGACATCTTCGGGCGACGGTGAATAATCGTTGCCGTCTCGGGGATTTTTCAAATTGTGTGATGTTATGACTAGAGATGCAAAATGACCGTCATTTTTTAGATCGCGTCATATGACCAAAAAATGACGGTCATGTGACGCACAAATTTTCCAACTACAAGTGATTGTCAGAAATCATTTGTAATCAAATTGTTGTCAAACCATCTATATAGTTGCATAATGACGGTCATAACTAATTTCCAATTTGTGACGGTCATGAATAAAACAAAATAGTTTCAACAACAAATTAATAAATAGAAAAAAAATAAAAATAGGAATGAGCAATAATAGTAATAGCAATAACTAAATAGTAGTCAAATCTACTATAATAATTAGTTATCAAATAATTATAAATAAATGCCAAAAATTGTAATAGTAGGGATTAATTAATAACTACCCAGCAAACAGTATGTCGACAATTTGTCGACAAATTGCCGATGTCCTGTTAAATTTTAGATGGCACTGGCAAAAATTGTTTTCTGGGTAGTAAAAAAAATAGAAATAGGAATGAGCAATAATAGTAATAGCAATAACTAAATAGTAGTCAAATCTACTATAATAATTAGTTATCAAATAATTATAAATAAATGCCAAAAATTGTAATAGTAGGGATTAATTAATAAATAGTTAAAAAAATGAAAAAAATAGGAATGAGCAATAATAGTAATAGCAACAAATAAATAGTAATCAAATCTACTATAATAATTAGTAAACAAATAATTATAAATTGACACAGAAAATGGCAACAATAAGGATTAATCAATAAATTGTAAAAAAATAATATTAAACAATAATAGTAATAGCAATAACTAAATAGTAGTCAAATCTACTATAATAATTAGTTATCAAATAATTATAAATAAATGTCAAAAATTGTAATAGTAGGGATTAATTAATAAATAGTAAAAAAATAGAAATAGGAATGAGCAATAATAGTAATAGCAACAAATAAATAGTAATCAAATCTACTATAATAATTAGTAAACAAATCATGATAAATTAACACGAAAAATGGCAACAATAAGGATTAATCAATAAATTGTAAAAAAATAAAGATTAAACAATAATAGTAATAGCAATAACTAAATAGTAGTCAAATCTACTATAATAATTAGTAAAGAAATCATTATAAATTAACACAAAAAATGGCAATAATAAGGATTAATCAATAAATTGTAAAAAAATAAAGATTAAACAATAATAGTAATAGCAACAAATAAATAGTAATCAAATCTACTATAATAATTAGTAAACAAATCATTATAAATTAACACAAAAAATGGCAATAATAAGGATTAATCAATAAATTGTAAAAAAATAAGATTAAACAATAATAGTAATCGCAATAAATAAATTGTAATCTACTTTACCAACATTTTCTCCTCACACGGTGAACGATATGCGGAGGCGTACGCATATATACATTCCCCAGTGTCTCGCCTCCACTGAAATACTCACATACTCCACTAGACTCGCGGTGTCTCGACAAACGTGGGTGCAAAGCTATGTAATCATAACACTGTGTTCGTCATTAAAAACAATCAGGAGGAAGTGTCCAATGAAATCATCAGCAATTGGTGCGTATTCCGGTGTTTTGAATTTGTGATTTGAGCATTAGCAAATTGTATTTTCTCGTATAAAAAGATCGATAGACGACGGTCTGACTGTCCGAGAGGCTCCGAATGGACTTTAAACGGCTCGAGAAATTTTTTATCCAACTTTTTATATCGATTTTCGCCCCGGAAATGATGAGAACAAATATGGAGTTGAGAATGCACAAGTAATATGCAGATATGCGGTATTTTATATCAATACCACCGGCTTCTGTCACGTTTTTTCGTTTAATACGTCCTTGACACTCGGCCAAGCACATTCAGGTTTAAAGGTGGATAGGCGTAGTACTATATTTAAACGTCATCCACGTGTTTCCAATGCTCATCTGCTGGGATTTGTAAACTATTCTTATATTTAGATGCATTCAATCGCTCAAGTTTCTTTGATCACCGCTCTCTTTTGGGTGTTAGAAATCCTCTATTGATGCTTAATGCAGCTCAGATATGACTGATAAGAGATGGAGATAATGTATCAGCTGAGTTTTTCTCGTTTATTTCGAGAACAAAATTTATTTTGAAACCTCGTCGCTGTCTTCAGACGCTAATCCACGGTACAGTGATGAAAATAATCGGAATAAAATCACTCACGAAAAAATTTGATAGAAAAACCTATCGAATTCATCAGAAAATTCTATTGAATTTCTATTAAATTTTCTATTAGTTTTTGGCTGATTCTGCTGACATGTTCAATAGAAAATATTCAATAGAAAAAGTCAACAGAATTCGATTTTTCTATTTAACTTATTCTTTTCAGATATTTTCTATAGAATTTGCTCGACTAAAAATTTCCAAGTTTTTTTCATTCTATTTTTCATTTCTTCTCATCAAGAAAATCAAACGAAAAAACTTGGAAAATTTGAGCCGAGGTAATTCGATAAAAAATATCTCAATAGAATAAGTTATACAGAAAAATTGAATTCTATTGACTTTTTCTACTGAATATTTTCTATTGAACATTTTAACAGAATCGGCCAAAAACTAATAGAACGGTTCAATAGGAATTCAATAGAATTCAATAGATTCTAACGAATTCGATAGGTTAAATTATTAAATTTTTTTTTTTATTATTAAATTTTTTCGTCCGTGAATGTTTAGAATTTTTTTCTTTCCCTCAAGGGAAATTATTTCCAGAGAAATTTTGTTTTGGGATCTCGAGAGTGACGATTTGCAAGAGAAAGTCAAGTCGATTTTGACTTTTGGCCAATTTTTGATTAATATCTCGGAATCTAAGAGAGATAGCAAAATTTTCCTCAAAACCTTTTTTATAACTCTCAATTGGCTCAACAAAAAAGATAATGACAAAAATTGTTCTATCTCTATCAGATTCCGAGATATTCGCCAAAAACTTCGCTGCTGAAATTGTCTCTGCAAATGATATTTCTTCGATTTGCAAAAAAATCCTTCATCATGCAAATATTTTCCTCGTATGAGACAAGAGGATTTTAAAGTACCTCTTTCCCCAATCTTCACCGATTTTTTCCTCCGGAGAATTGATTAAAAGTCTCCACGGAGACTGACGTCACAACACTCTCTCTCTTTCTCTCTCTGTGGTAATGACGTCATGAGTTGCGTCAGCCCCTACGGAAAGGCGGGAGTACACAAGAGCGAAGTTCCAGGGGAAATCGATCTAGCTAAAAGCCCCGAGAGTACTTGTACGACCTGTGTGCAACTCCCTCCAGACTGTAATAACAATTTTTTTTATTCTTTTATTCATGGCATGTTGAAAAGAGGAAGGAGCCCCCTGGTTTTGGGATAGAGAGGGGCTCAGGGCGCTGTTAAATCCAGGGGTATTATCAGTCTTCTCTTCGATCCACTCGATGAAATGTCAGAGGTTGACGCGCAAGGCAAAATCAATCGTACCCTTTGGTGGATCAAAATTTTCTGACATTTATGTGATATCTTTGGAAAAATCGCGAGGCCTGACATTTTCCCTCAATTCATCGAGATGTTTTCCATATACTTTTGAGAGTTCTGAATAGCCCGTCACTTAAATAGTGGGAATCAACGTTCACCCGGCTAAAAAATTCGATTTTGGCGAAAGTCGATTTTCCCCCTGGAAAACCGGAAAATCTGACCCTTTGAAAATCTGAAAAAAA